TCATCGTATTTATGATTGTCACTTGTAAATTTATATTTTCTCCTTAGGAGGCCTTGAAAGCGTAGGAAGGTGGAAGTATAGAATTTTTAGCTATGTGATATGTGCATATTAACGACAATAACAGAGGTTTTATCTTGACTGAAATAAGGAGCATAATTATATTGAATGATTGCATCAATTGTATAATTTCGTTATTTCAATTTAAATTTTTGTTATCGAAAGTGGATTTCAAAGTCCTTCAGTATTTGTACCAGCCTAGAAATAAGCCATGTTTTGGTGTACTATGCCATATATTGGCAAACTAATATTCCCATTTAAAATAGGCGCAAAATCCGTCCCTCCCCTAATAAGCTCTTCTCGAATTGACGATATAATATACGGAAAAGCTCGGAAGTCGAAAGCGCGTCATACACAATCATTAAAATAAAGAATTTTTCGCCCGCATCCGGCATTAAAGCACGCATCAAGGGTCGATATAGATATTCCATTCACTGATATTCCTTCAACATATAATATATATTCACAACGTATGCGCATTTGTCACCCTTTAGAACACCGACAATTCCAATTATCCCCAGCTTTTCAAACGTCGCTTGTTAGTGAAAACTTGTCCTTTCATTTACACAACCGGTTTCGGTCTTAGATCAATTAGAGGATAATAAATCTTTGCCGTTTACTCTTACCACAATGTACAATATAATAAGAAATATTCAAATAAAACTGTTGCTCAATCGGCTATTCTTCTGTGTTACCCATCTCTAAGAAATTGTTAGGATATAATGGTCATTATTTTCGTCGTTTCTTTCTTCCACTCTGCTATTAAACACACGTTGTGGGATATAACGATTTATCTAATGTACCTCTTCTTTAGATATTATCACTTTTATATTCATAGCTTTTGTGTACTTTCTTAGTCGACGGTCTGTTAGTATTAGGCATCAATATGTACATAAAATTCACACATTTACCTCGGGGTAATGCTTGGAAGTGAACACTGTGTAGGAGATACACGTAAGTGATATTTCATTTAAACTGTGACAAGCTTCATCGCTAAACAATTATGTGTGTTCTTCAGGATTTATAATTTAGTACTTGTCATACGTTTGCGGAATCAGACGAATTACTTCATATTAAGTTAAATTACCTCCAACCCTGACTCTGTTTCAATAATGTTCGAGCAAATTAAAAAACTAAGTGGTCCTGTAGTTTGTACGCAACAAAAATACTATGTGTGGTATTTTCTTGAAATAAAAATTTCATCTCGTAAAATATGTCTTAGTCGATTCGACATCTGGACAGGCTAATCTACGTGATATTATCATATTGATGAAAAGCCTCTATTAACAAAATTTCAACTGCCTTTGTAATATTAATAATAATGTGACTATTAACGAGATTTTGTTCTATAATTAATTGATTTGAAATTTAAGCTAATTGATATCCAAAATCGATTAATGGTATTTCAGAATGCGTATTTAACTTAAATTGGAAAATATTCACCTAACATGTTAAAATCAAAAGCCGGATTGTAGCAAAAATTGACGACCGTCTTGAGCGTAGGTCGAATTAAGATTTGGTGCAAACCTATAAGTCTACATATCTATATATGCGTATCATTAAGGCAAACATTATTTTTACATGTTAAATATTTCCATTAATTGAGGAATTAACACTAATGTGCAATCGAAGACATCACTTGGGTCTCTGGTATATCGGCAGTTCCACTGACTTTTTGTTTTAATTAGATTTTAATAGTATATAGAGAATTCATCAAAAAATATATAAAGAAAAATAGTAAAATATGTCGACAACCGTCGATATTTAATTTTTTCGGGCGCTCTGCATAAAATATAATATACTGCCAATGTAAAAATGTTACTAATTAAATCGTCGAGGAGTCGCAGGCATTGTTTACTTTTCGGTGGTATTAGCGTTTCCTTTAAGGCGATACGATCTTAAACATTTTTTTCCACAGCTTAGATGATGGATTGGTCAGTATTAGAATGCTCAAACTGTCAGCCGATAGAGAAATTACGTCCAGGTGACGTTGAACATTCAAAAATTATCATACTAAATCGGCTTAATTAAGGTATGTCGTGTAACCAAAGCGCGGTATATTATTTAAATTTTCAACGTTGGTATTGAATAGAAGCAATTCATCAGCATTAATCTTTGAAATCTAAACTACTGCACGGATATCGTTATTTTAATAGTGCCTTGTATTGGGATTTGCTCTTATTTTAAACTACAAAATATTAACTAACGACACAAAATTATATCTGCATTATACAAATACGCTAAATGGAACGAATACTCAACAAAGAAGATTCGGTCGAACGCTAATAGGAATTCAAAATTCATAGCGAAAGCGATTTGTCAAGATTTGCAGCCGGCGTCAACCGGATGATTGATTGTTTGTCAGTTGACTTTCGCCCTGAAACACTTCTATCAAAACACATATTCTAAATTCATTCAATTCCGTAATTGCATTGACTCTGGAAGTAGGGCTCTGTCATTTCGTCCCAGCGCAATGATCATCATTCTCCTTGTTTATTCCAGCATTCTCCCCCTCTTTCGTATAATAATTGCCTGATTGCTTTAAAAAAATAATTATTGTATTACCTCCTTTAATTAATATGGGTGTCCTTGGCATTTTCGTACCAGTAATTTATATTCGAATTCGTCTTCTTGTTCATTATCTAGAATTAATTGAACTTGTAGCCTTCGGTTTGCCTATTATATTTTACGCAGATTTAAATTAAATACCTCACAGTCACAGAAAACCGATTTGAAAAAGGATATAGATGACGGAGTTTAATTATATCGAAAAGTTCCTACAGTACAAATGTCAGAAGAAAATGCGCCGTCTTCTCGATTCAACTTTAAATGCATTCCATGAAATTGTCAGGGACACCCATTTTAATAACAACGTCAGCAATTGACATCTATGTTGAAATTCAACACAATTTTATTTCGCTGAACATTATTTTTTGTAAAATAATGTATTCAATACGCTTGCGACATCCCAAGCAATGTTAAATTTTGATAGAAAAACCCCTAATTTCTCTGCAGAACGGAACAACTAAAATCGTGAGAAGAATAAACAATATAATAATATAATATTAAAAAAAAAATGTTTTTTTTTTTTGGCAGAATATTTAAAACAGAAACAGATCAGCCTGGTTGTGAAAATTTCTTGCTTAGGAAAGAAAAATCTTAGAATTTAGATAATTAGGTGAATACTGCGTTGTCAACACTATGTTGAAATTCAACACACTTTTAATTTGCTGAGCATATTTTTTTGTAAAATTAAGTATACGTAGTTGATTATAGCTGACAGCCAACATTTTACATACCTGGATCTTTTTTTAAAATGCTGTATTCAATACGCTTCCGATATCCCAACAAATGTTAAATTTTGATAGAACAACCCCTAATTTCTCTGCACTACCGAACAAATAAAATCGTGAGAAGAATAAACAATATAATATTAAAAATGTTTTGAATTTTTTTTTTGTAGAATATTTAAATCAGAAACGGATGAGCCTGATTGTGAAAATTTCTGGCTTAGGAAAGAAAAATCCTAGAATTTAGATAAATAGGTGAATACCGTGTTGTCAACACTTTCTTTTTTTTCACACAATCATTAAATTATAAGCCAGTTGTGCTAAATTCTGCAGTTGCTTATCGGTGTAAGGGAGGCATTTATCCATTATTCTTTAGGAACTTTAACTAAATGTACCCAAATTTTGGCGATGCTTAAATAATTATAAATAATTATTAAAAAGTATTTCATAAAAAAAAAACATTACTGGTTAACAACTATTTTTCTATCGATCAAAAAATTTGTCATTGGTATTTATAAAATTTTTAAAGTTTTATGCTAAATCCATAGAATTATCCAAAAAATAACACTTTCAATAAATTAATTATTATTATTAATTAGCTTTTTTTAAAGAATTTTTAAGAGGTCCATTTTACCCCTGGTATTACGCAAAGCGCTAAAAATGTACAAATAACCAGAATTTATAATTATAACAACGAAACAAAAAATTGGTTAAGTTTCGAAGCCCCAAAGGGCAAGGGGCTCACTCTCCCCTGCTGAAACATATACCTCGCAATATCATTAACATAACTTTCTTAGGTTTTTGTTAATGTAGAAATTACTCAATTATATATAACTGAGTTTTTAAAAGTTACTTTAAATTTCCTAGTTAATTTTAATTAGTTTTCTTTTGCACTACATTCTTTTTTGCATTTTGTCTTCAAAAAATATGAACATTTTAAGATCTTAGAATTTCCATGGTGTCAATTAAATATTTAAGACAATTGTTCATTTTTATTTAATTAATTTAATTAAATGTTCTATTGGTTAAAAAAAAATAACCAGTTTTCCCAAAATTCTGCTTCCGATTAGGCTTCCGACTCGTTTCTCGAATATTCAATAAAAGCATATATTTTACGCATTTACGTCCCTGTCGGTAGGTACTAGGTCTGGGGGTTCGTATTTTAAAAATTTCAGTGGAATTGAAGAGAAAAATATGTCCGACTTGACATTGGAGCTTATAAATCTAACGCTACTAAAATATTGTTTGCGGTTGAGTGATTTACCGAACCCCAACTCCAACTCGGTGAGCAAAATAGGGGGGCCGAGGGGGATGAAAGGAGAAATCGAATACCGAGCGAATCGAATGAGGCATCTAAGTCCCGCGATTTTAATATTAGAAACGAAAATAATTTAATTGAAAGTTGTCGGATATCCTGGCAGATGTAGTGACAGGCAACGGGCACAATGGTCATCATCAAATGGCATTTCCTTGCGTTCGATTTTTTAAAATGCGCGACGGCCATACGCGGGACGCATGTGTGGCACTTACCCCTCTCCCTTTTAAATTTTAAAGTTGAAATTCTATCAATGCGATTTGTTTACACCAGAATGGTTTGACAGGCGAGGGCGGAATTGGATTTTTTACTTACACCCGTATCTCTTGCTTTTCCAGGGGCGGTACGGGAACTTCAAAACAGTCGGCTAGACGACACTCGCTCCAAGGAGGGTAAGTTGAGCTAAGTTGTCTTCTAATTAGTAGCGTCTTCAACGTTCGATAATAAATAGGTTTGTATTAACAGCTATGAGAGAGTTAACAGAAATATTATGAAGATTTGATGACGTAAGGACGATCCCTTGTACGCCCCTGTCGTACTATTAACGCAGACCAACCCTCGAAGCTATTAGAGACAGACATGCATTACTAATGCTAGTTTGTGGTTGTTCTTCCTGGCAGACGCTGTTACACAACACCCATTTAGGGTACATGTATGTCAATGCTTTTCATGTGTTAACCCTAACCAGTCAAGGTTAAAATCTATTATAAAGAGTAAGTATCGTTTTTACCCTCCGCGTAAATCGTATTATTCCATCGTGGAAAATAAGGAAAATTGGATGTACGTTCCGGAAACGTAAACAAATTATTGGTTTGTTGCACGCGAGGAATGAAAATGAGTATTCGTTCGGGTAAAAAATGCGAAATCGACCAAATTGGAAACGGAAAACTTAAAAAAGGGTTTGTTCTAACAATAAAACTATATGCAATAGTTCTAATATAATTTTATTTAAATATATGAATAAAAATAAAAAATAATAAAAAAAACGGAGAAAGAGATACACATAAAACCATGCAATCAAAAATTTTCCAAGAAACCATTTCATATTGACAGGCTCAAACGTACTGCAATATGAAATTAAATCATGATTGTGAAACAAATAATTCAAATAAAATAAGTTTAAACTCTACCTCAGGTACTTAAAAATATTATACAGGGTGGGTCAATGATATAGTAAAGTTCATTTTCTCATTGGTTTCCAAAGTTATGACAAAATGGTAAATACAGAAGTTGTAAGGATTGGGATGCACTATCTCAAATTATTGGCTCAAAAAATCGTTACGAATGAAACAATTTTTTAAACCTTATTTTTAAATTTTGTTTTGAATTCCTTTTAAAATTCTTCAACTTTTCCATTAATAGTAATACATAAACCTAATAATTTTTCTAAAAAAATGCTAGTTTTCCTGCTTGCAAACAAATTACGATAGCACCATTTTTTTAAAGATATTAGCGTTATTTCGATTAGATGAGGGTATTTAAATTAAATGAATGTATTTGGATCATTTTAAATTAAAAAATCTTGTTTCTTAAATGACACACCATTTTTTTTCTGGAAAATCTTACAAAAACTTTATAAAACTTATTAAAACTTTTAAGTATGGCATATGGCATTTGATATTTTGCATTTTATTTGAACTTTTCCAATATTTACCCTTTTTTCTGTCTAAGACTATTAATTTATAATAATTACCCAACAGGGGCTCTGTTTAGATTAAAAAATGAATAGGAGGAAGAATTCTGTTAGAGCTGTAGACAAAGCAACAGGCAGTAATTATATTAATTCCTACTTTATCTTATTTTGTTCAATATTCAAAAATATGCCCTTCTAATTGGATCCACTCGTTTATTTTTTTTTTAAAGGGTGTTATTCTCATTGTCCATATCTTCTGGTGTTGTATGGGGATTCACATAAACACGATCTTCAACATATTCCACAAAAAAAAAATCTAGTTGTGTTAAGTCACATGATCGAGGGGTCCATCCAATGAATCAACCTCTAATGATCCATTTCTGTGGGTAATGGTTTTTAAAAATTATCGAACTTTTCGATGGAAATGCGGAGAACCTCCATGCTTGCTGAAACCACATTTGTTGGATCTCAATGTCATCAATTTCTTAAAAATCAAAATCAAAATCTTAACTATCTAGGCCCATTAAATAAGTTCCAATAACTTTAAACAGTTTAATTCCACATATTAAGTGACCAATGTATCACATAAGCTAGCTTCTTGACGGCTACTAACCTGGGAATTATTTTGAATTGGAAGTAAAATTTCCAAATCTTTTTCCTCATTACATTTTACGGTTTTACGGCATTACGGCATTACGGTTTACCACATTCCGTTTTAGCATCCATTAAACACTAAAGATATTGTCTATGGTATACGTCTATAAGGGCCCATCGCCTTGTAAAATTTTATTGCCAACAAAGTATTTTTTCCGTTTCACTCAGTATATAACTCATATCAATTCATTCAACTTTAAGAAAAATCCATACTTAGTATGTATTATTATTAATAAAAAAAAGTTGAAAAAATTTAAAAGGAATTCAAAACATAATTTAAAAATAAGGTCTTCCATTTAAAAAAATGTTTGTTTTATTGGTCACTGTTTTTTGAGCCACCCTGTATACTTTAAAATAATTTTAAATTGTGCATTCCAACAATCTTTACATCTTTTGTATTTACCATTTCCCAATAACTTTTGATACCAATGAGATAATATACAATAACATTTCCATTGCCTCAGAAATTCCAGACTAATAAAGTAAGCGCAAAATAGTGTGGTAAAATCATAAGCCCGTTTTTTAGTATGTTCCTTAGTAACAATTTCCCGATAGCCATTTATCAACTTAAGACAACTGCCTCGTTTTTCGAGGAAAGCAGCGAACGACTTTCATTTTGATATCCATTTCTGCATTATTCGAAAGTATTCGATGAATGCCTTCTGGCCAACGTTTCGTTCAATATGATTAAGTCATCAAGCAAGCAAAAATACCAGATGTGGTCAAAAATGGAAAATTAAAAAGTTCTAGACAAAAAGCAACCACTAAGAATCAATCACGGAAACAAAAAAACACGACAACAGTAAAAAAAATAAATAACTACACATCTTAATTATTACTATTATTTTTTGTCTCTGTTTTCTGCTCAAGTTACAAACGAGGGGCGCAATCGACGTTAATCATTCAATTAATATTACAAAATTGGCAGCTTCTGTTGCCGTATCATACTCAGTTGAGAATATTTCCGTTACAATTGGCAGTTAACGAGATTTTTGAGATACATTACAAAAACGAGTTATCAAAAGTCAAATTCAACTCTCTATGAAATAAAAATGCCTCGCTTACTAAATAAAATCGTAGCAGAATGTAAGCTAGGCATAGGATGGTAATTTTAAAGAAAGTTTTTCGATAAATATGCAAAACGCGTTGATCTGATTCAGTTAGTCGTATAAAAAAAGATGCCGGCGTATGTTTTGCATTAATTTAGTCGATATATATATTATTTTATTTTTTACTTAATTAAATGATTAAACTAATTGATTCTAATTGGACTCGGAATAGTCAATGCGGCGTTTTCTGCTGTGCTTATTTCAACCGGCAAAAATATCAAAATACCCGAAGGGTGTTATAATATATTTATGCACTCAACCGTCAATACTATGTAAACCTCTCCGTGGCGTTGTCATTAATCTTGCTGAAGCTGACAGATAATAAACTGAGCCATGAGAATTTAGCGTGCGCAATTGGTGTAAAGCCCGTGAGCACTTTCGGTGTCAGTATAATAAAATGACGCAAATGACCGATATAAAAGCAGTAGCCCGCATGTACGTAACTAATATGCAAACTGCCAAAATTTTCGACAATCGTAAAAGCTTATTAGTACGAGAGAAGGTAAACGCAAGAGCGAAATATTAAATGTTAATGGTTTGAGTAATAAACAATATTATGGCCTTAGGGGGGATTAATTTATAACTTATACATCACCCCATCTGATACCGTTTTATTGCAGAAAACAAAATAGAAGCTTTAAACGTTTAACGTTGCCGAGCTGAAAGGGGAATCGAAATTGCCTTTTGTCCTGTTTTCTTGTAAATTTTAATCCTTTTTTATTTATGGCGATGGCTCTGGCAGTATTCAGATTCCAGGTGTCATATTTTAATGTTCATGCGAACCGAAGCCGTAAAGCTTTCTTTTCGCCGTGCGGTAAGTTTTATTGAAAATTGGTCGTCAGAATTACGGACAAGTCCTCGTATTGTATACGCTTGCCAAGACGTACTTTAAATACGCTTACGAAGACAATAAGTTTAAATAAATTATTGGAGTGCACTAAACATAAATTCTTAACGATTTCGTCGAAATGTGTCACATACGGGTGGTCAAAGGGAAATTACGTTTTTACGAGCTAAGAACATAATGATCGGAGTTAAGAAGCCGAAATTATACCGAGCGATTTTACGTCGTCGGTATAATTATTCGGGTAGATATATATCGATACGACGCGACGTTGTTCTAAGAAACCATCGGCAACTGAGAATGCCAAATCTGTTTTTTTTTACACCTCCACCAATAAAACGCATATCTTGTTGTTCAGTTTCTTTTTTTACAACAACATTGACAATTCAGCTAATAGTCCATCAAAAGAAACTATCAAAATTTTATGGCAAGTTTTGGTAAAAAACTATTTTTCAATACTTTTGTATTCAATCAACTAAAAAAACTTTAAACTGTGACACACACAGGTGAACAAGTGATTCATGAAAAAAGGCAAAGTGGTTTCCGTTTATTGCGCGGAAGTCAAAATATTTCTTGACAAGTTGGGCAATAAATCTGTTTCTTTATGTTAAAATGTAAAATGATAATAAAAAGAAGGGTTATTTATTTTTATTTGCCTTTTAAAATTTTTTCTATTGTAATATCAGAATTAGAAACTGAGATGTATGGCGCAAGTTGGCAAAAAACTGTTTTTGAATCTTGTATTCTAGGCATAGAAAAGTGTCCAGAGTAATAGTTATCACAGCACTTTAGCTATAAAAGTATCAACGATCCGCTCGTGCCAAATACACTCGTGACTTAAAAAGGTTACTAAACGTGTTGCATGTGACTTTTTCTACGACCGTTGGTTGTCGGGTACATTTTTGCAACACAACACGAATACATTCACTGAGATTCCCGTCCAACTTGACAAACGTCAAAATGGAAGGCCTGCGGTAAAATCTCCGAAAACATCCGATTGCACAGAAAACTGTTATGCAATAAATCAGACAATTTAAATACTACGTGCTATAAGCTACCATTAAGATCTAGTGTACTAGTCGGTAAGTAAAGTAACATTTATAATTTAAGTTTCCCACCCAAATTTTACATACCGTTCGCATGAATTTTCGT